CTTTTCCCCCCCGCGTGCCCAGGCTGAGCCCCAGACGCGGTGCGGGGACCCCGGCTGGGCAGGCAGCAGGCTCCCGGGCAGGTGTGCCGTGGGCAGGCGCGCAGGCTCACGCTGCACGTCTCACAGATGGAGGATCCATTTTTTCCCCGGATGATTTGTTCCAATGGTTAATCATCCTCACACAAACAGAGGATTTTTTTTTTTTAACATGACACACCAGTAAATAACATTCAGAAACTTTAGAATGGGCTTTCTCTTCACCGGGCAATCTCTTGATCTCTGCCTGCTCTATTAGTGCTGTGATGACTGCCTAAAATTAACTGGGACTTCACAGCTTCCCTGTGCCCTTGCAAGACTAGCTTTGAACTTGAAAGCCTCCTACACAAAGTGCTCTGCGCTATCAACCTGGTCACGGTAGAGGTGAAAAATGTGGCACTGAAGAAAGTGGCTTTCCGATAAATACATCCACAGTAAAACCATGCATGACTCACAAGATCAAAGACAGAGTGCAAGTACTGAGGTCATTAAACATGAATAGAAATACAGAAATGCAACAGCTTGCATTAAAGTCTTAGCTTGACTTTAAAGTTAAGTGATGAAAGCTTATGTAGTCAGCGATTGTTCACCCGTGATAATGCTCTGCTCTCGCCATCACTAGTTCTGTGCTTTACAAAGGTGAGTAAGAATAATTAATAATTTTTCTGAAAAAGTACTGAGGTGTGGGGCAGTTAATGACTTGTACCAAGTGAAAATAGGCTCAGAGATGCTCAGCATCACCAGCTTTAGGGAAAGTCAGAGCGCTGCAGACATCAGGCCTGCTGGAAATTCAGCTCCTGGTTACCAGTTCTAAAACTGATGGATGAGTAAGGATTTACTCTGCACAAGGTCCTTCATGAATGACATGGCATCAGAGGTCACCAGCATAAAAGGATGTTTGGGGTGAGGCTTCCATTGGCACAGCCCCAGCCCAGTATGACTCTGTGCCGGCTTTTAAGAGACCACCTTCACTGATGGTCTTTCTCGGATGGCTCCGTTTAGTCAAGTTGTTGTATACTTTACAATATTCTGAAGCTTAAGAACAGTATAGCGTAGGAGATGCTTCCTGGTTCGTATCACAATTGAGTTAATTGTAGCCTGTGCAGTATTTAGACCAACTATAAAGGAAACTGCTAAAATTGAGGATTTGGGGGGACCTCTACTGGAAAACAGCCCCCCTGCTGTGTTTCAAATAATTTTATTTGCAGCATAACTATCTAATACGGTTTCTGGAGTATTCTGGTATGTCACAGCATCATCTGATCTGCAGCCTAAGTTAATGAAGTGCCTTGAGATACTTCACATGGCGTTCTGCCAGTATGTGGCTGTTACTCTGTCCAGAGCCACGTCTCTCGGAGTGGTTTGTTGGCAGTTCTGAGCAAGTGCAGGTGCTTCCACAGGAGCAAGGCGATTGTGCTTAGCCACAGGGGGCAAGTGGCAGAGGTCCAGCCAAACCCCGTGCATCCTTTGCTGGGAAGGGAAGGAAAATGCCAGCTTTGCTCTCCTCTGAGCTCCGCACGGCGTGTCCCAGGGCAGTCCCGCAGCATATGGCAGAGCAGTCTTCTGGAGGTGTAGCTGTATCACATCCAGGTAGAGCCCCAGGAAAGACTTGTCGCTATCAGACTAAGCCAAATTCCTGCCCTTTTCCTCAAAGCTACTGACTTCACACCATTCTGGGAGGCAGCTTCGTCTCCCCTGGTGCAGGCCTGGTACTGGAAAAGCAAACGATGACAGCTTGTGGGCTGTGCTTCCCCCTGCTCGTCCTTCACCTCTAGCATGACCACTGGATAAGACCTGTACCCAACAACATAATCTGGTGGGGGCCAAATATTTCAGCCCCTTCCCCAGCAAACTCTTTCCAAACCTAACAGCAGAGCCAGCAGCACCCCACAGTGCTCCGACCTTTGAGTGCTGTAAAGCGAGAGATGGCCATCGCCAGTTCTTGGTGAGATTTCAGACCCGTGTCATTTTTCAAGGTGGCCTGACATTGAAGTTTATGCTAAAAACATCCACTGATTTCAGCACAGCAAGACTGTGACTGGGAACGTTTGCAAGGAATGTGTTAAATACCTGGTGAGTGAGCGAAGATGCCAGCAGCAATGGAGATTTTTCCAGAGCAGCACAGCTCTCTGCAACAGCAATTCTTCACCACAGATATGCAAAAGCAAGCACGCTGTGACCTCTGAGCCAGCCCGCAGAGAATCTCTGGGGGAGATGATCTTGGCATTTCCTGTGATACTCGGCACCCGTGTTGCCCAGAACATGGCAAACTATCATACGTATGCCTGGAGGGGTGCAGGGAGAGGACTTGATCTATGTTCTGGTCAAGCACAGGTGGATGGAAGAGCTGGGAGAGCCCCGCTGCCAGGCAGCTCACCAGACCCTCCAAGTACTTTGCATTTTGGCCAGTGGGGACGGGGAGAAGGTTTCAGACCACACGAACTTTCGCAAGTGAGCCCAGGACTTGCACAACAAGCTGCAATAGCTTCTCACGTGGACGTGGGAAATAATTATGAACACCCAGCTCTCATGGAGTTGCAGCGCTTCTGAGCGAGACCAGCAGCACTCTGGCTTTTGGATGGGCAGCTGGGGGCATGGAGGCTTACAGCCACCCCTCGCAGGTCCCAGCAGCATCGGGGATGGCTCCCTGTGCTCAGCCCGTTCTCTTAACATTTTTTGTCTACTTTTGTTATCCAGAGCAGGTTTTCATCCTCTCCGACACCCCTTCTCTGATCTTGGTCAAAGCATTTAATCTTTGTGACCCACTGTCCCCATACGCAGACTAAAGGATGCTGCAAGAAAATGTTGATACTGTGCTTTGGAAATGCTATTTTTTTTCAACTTTCTTATCTTTTCTCATATTTTAGAAGGAATATTTATCCTCTGGTGTCTCTCCAGCCCCTTCTGATTTTTCATACTTTCTTGGTGCGCTCTCAGCCAGCGGGATAGATTTGCAAAGTAGTAGTTTGTTGGTGTGCCGGCACAGAGTACCGTTTCATTTTCTGCCATGTGCCTGTCCTTGATATTTAGTTTCACGTTTTCTGGAATTAAGCCCTATTGTACAACACCCATCTAAACCCTGAATTAAAGCTACTGGAGTTCTTTCTCTTTTGTACTAGCATGGCCAGGATCATAATCTGCCTGGTATTGCAAATACCCAAAATATAAAATTAACTTCAAGCAGCGCTGATTCTGCCCGCAGAGTATGTCAGAAGTCCTGAGACATCCCTCGAAGCTACGTGCAAGCAAAAGGCATGGTATGCAGATACCCTTTTTAAACTTTTTTGTATCCTTTTGTTGTAGCAAGGCTGGGCCTGGTTGCCCGTGACGGGTGACAGCAAAGCATCCGTTATCCTCAGTGGGCAAGAACTGGACTCGCCCATCTAGCGAGGGTATCGCCAGGATGGGGGATGCCTATGCACAGAGATAGGCATTCAGTACAGCAGTATTGAATATTGATAAGCCAAGCCTAAATAAAACCATCAGGTCACCCAAAGGGGATTTTTCATCCCCCGCGTATACGATTGACTATACAACTTGTGCTTAATTTTTCTAGAAGTGAAAAATCTGGTCCTTGCAGCTTTTAAGGAGGTTTTAAAATAACTATTCTCCCATCTCTGTGGTTTAAATAGAATCATAACCATACTACTTATAGCCTGGAAGAGAGATAGGACGCCAAAATATCAGGCATTTTTAACAGATTGAGAGAAAGAAAACACTGGCTTGGGAACCAGCAGGATTAGGAAAGAGAAGGCAAGTTTTGAGTTAGAGATCACAGTGCTAGGCCTCTACAGAGGAAGTTTTTTTAAGTTTTAAGAAAATAAAATTCTGCAAAAGTTGGAACGCTGCTGAGAAGACCTAGAAAACAGGTACATAAGGTATACTTGGAACACCGTTCCCAGCAACAGCATTGATGCCTTGCCCCTCAGTCTTTGTAACACAACTTTACGCCATTACTCTCCAAGACTCACTAAGCTATGATCTGATATTCCAGGATGAAAAAACAATTAGCACTGGTAACCAACTTCTGCTCTGTGGTCCGAAGCTCTTGACAGCTTTCCTTCTGTACCCAGATGCGTTTTCAAACAGCTTTAGAAATGATCATTAAGTAAGTCTCATGTTGTTTTCGAGATACCCCATCCACGGTCATATTTCTTAGCCCAGCTCTGGCAGTACCAGCACAGCTCCATCTCCCTCCTGCCTACCTTCTCTGCAGCTCTGCCGAGAGCTCAAATTGCAAACTTCTCAGTATGCACTTTAAGAAATGTCGCCTCTCTGGTGTTCAGATCTGAGTTGGGGGTGGAAAGCAAGCCATAAAACCAAAGCAGAAGCCCCACCTCATTTCATTCCCTGCCTAAATCTGAAGCTGCCACCTTAGCCCTCTTCTGATCTGTCACACATGTCTCTGCTGTGCTCACTTCACAGGCAGGACAACTGGTTCTCAGTTGACATCTAACAACTTTGGACTCCTCTCTACAGAAATACGCTTAGCACAGATTTCTTCATGGAAATTGAGCTTCTCTCTGGCATTTTGTGTGCGACTTGCTCCAGCACTGCGGTGATCGGCGTTCGTTAAACGTTACGCGATACATCAGAAAGCAAGTGCATCAGCAACAGCCGCCTCTGAGACGGCTCAAAAGTTCTGTCAGGATCCTGCCATCACGCTGCCGGTTAAAATACTTTCAGAGACGTCGTTGTAGAACAGTGAAGCAGGTTAAAATGCCACGCGTAATAAATGTAAATCACCTGTTAAGAACATAGTTTACAAATGAGTACAGTATTAACCAAGCCACCACGTTTAAAAATGGCTTTGCCAAGTAAAATCAACAATCCACAATTAGGCACTCTTTTCTAGCATTAACAGAAAAGCAACTAGCTAAAACAGAAATTTGGTTTCAGCAGACACGAAGAATTGTGCTATTTAAACCTGTTGCCCATCATGAACTTAAGTCTTCTTAAAAATAGCTTTAGTCACTTTTATTGGTATAAACACCTAAATTGAGATCTAACAGCAAATAAGGATTGTGCTTGTCCATAATAACCTCAGCTGTGAAATCTACTCAGACACAAGACATACAACCTTCCACATACACAAGTTATTTGTCAGCAAAGCAGAATGCTGCCATTCTGAAACAATTACATACAGTAAAGGTTTTCAATATTTTATTAAAGAAAACAGTCAAAATGTACAAGTATTACCCAGGTTTGTAGATAACTTCCTATAAAGGCAGTAAAATATGAATTTCAATCTAGGTTTTAAAAACTGCTATTGTTGATTTATTTTTAAAGTTGTTATTTTAAAATCACATTTCACAAATAGTTCTGAAATATTACCAAATGAATAGTGCAACAAGAAAATTGAAATTAGTTCTACACTGTTTGCACATCAAGCAAAAGTTATAAGTAACTGCTTCAAATACTCAAACCATTTGAGAATGAATGAACCCAACAGCTCCCACCAAAAACCGCCTTCTGACCACACTAGGAACATCCTCTTCTTGTTCTTCACTTAAAATCAAAAAATAATAAAACAACACCTCTTGAGGTCATCAAAAATAACTTTAGTATAAAATTGTCTTGGCCCTTATCAAATATTACATGAGTAAAATTGTTAAGCCTTTATCAAAACAGACAGGAATAGGAAAACAAAAAAAATGTCATGGCCTTAATCCGTATCTGTTGGAATTATGTCTAGAAACGTTAGAAGCAAGACCAGAAACTCGGAGCCCTGTTTTGTTTTTAAAAACCACACACATCACAAAGAAAAACAGCTTCTTACTGCCTAAGGTTTGGGGGTGTTCTGCTCAAGTGCCTGTTCCCATAGACAGCAATCTTTTATGTTCTGAAGAGAGCATACGCAAAATATAGAAAAATAAATTAAAATAGCTTCTTACAGCCTAAGGTTTGGGTGCTGGGTGGTGGTTTAGTATGTCCCCCACAGGTCACACTCTCTTGAGATCATATGCAGAAACATGGAAAATGGTATCCATCTTTCTTTTTTAGAAAGAGAAAAGCCCCACTACATCCCAAAGCTCTTGAGATCACAAAGGATGGTGCCCTGGGTGCTCTGGATGCTTTGGCAGCATGGGAAGTGGGCTCGGAGACAGACCCTGAGCTCCTTGTTGAAGATGAAGCAGAGGATGGGGTTGACCCCTGCCTGGGCAAACGTCATCCAGACGGAGGTGGTCAGGTAGACCTGGGGGATGGAGCTGGCCTTAATGAAGACCCGCAGGTAGCAGGCCACAATGTAAGGGGACCAGAGGAGCAGGAAGAGCAAGGTGATCATGTAGAACATCTTGCAGAGCCTTTTCTCCATCTTAAACTCCTCCAGCACCAGCAGTCTCTTGATCTGGCTGTGGGTGGCCTGTCTTATGCCCACAAGGGTGGGTGGCGTGGGCCCCCTGCCAAAGCCAGCCGTCCAGTTTGCAGCTGCTTGGCCGGTGGCTCCCGGCCCGTGGAAGGTCCAGTTCTGGCTGATGGCTGGTACCAGCTGGGCCGGTTTCATCTTGCGGTGGCCGTGGATGAAGAAAAGCAGCTTGATGTAGACCAGGTGGGTGGCAGCGATGACAGCCGCCAGCATGAGCATGAAGCCCAGCGTGTCATTGGCCTTGACGTAGCGGTGCTCGAAGATGCACTGCTCCTCCTCCCGGATGAACTTGTAAGTGCCCACGTCAAAGACAGGGGGGAAGGCCATGGCCATGGAGAGGGTCCACACCATGCACACCACAGCCAGGCAGGTCCAGCCCGTCATGCGCTTGGCGTAGAAGCGGTGGTGGGCAATGGCCATGTAGCGCGTGACCCCCACGCAGAAGAGCAGGAAGGCGGCGTGGAAGCAGAAGAGCACGGCCAGGAAGGCCAGCAC